AACTCGGGGAGAATTCCCGGGAAAATCGGGGAGAATTCCCGGGAAACTCGGGGAGAATTCCCGGGAAACTCGGGGAGAATTCCCGGGAAAATCGGGGAGAATTCCCGGGAAACTCGGGGAGAATTCCCGGGAAAATCGGGGAGAATTCCCGGGAAAATCGGGGAGAATTCCAGGGAAACTCGGGGAGAATTCCCGGGAAACTCGGGGAGAATTCCAGGGAAAAACGGGGAGAATTCCAGGGAAAATCGGGGAGAATTCCCGGGAAAATCAGGGAAAATTCCCGGGAAAATCAGGGAGAATTCCCGGGAAACTCGGGGAGAATTCCCGGGAAACTCGGGGAGATTCCTGAAAATACTGAGAAATTCCTAAAAAAATGTTGGGAACTTCCCAAGAAACTCTGGGAGAATTCCCGGGAAAGGCTGGGAAATTCCCGAAAACGCTGAGAAATTCCAAAAAAATGTTGGGAAATTCCAAAAAAATGCTGGAGAATTCCTCAAACTCTTCCCAAAGGTTTTGGTGCCGCTTTGGGAATTCCCGAAGGGAGGAATTTGGGGCTGGGGGTGAAAAATCAGCCGGGAATTGCCCCAAACAGGGATTGGATCCAAAGCCGGGAATTTCCTGGATTTTCCTGAGCTCTCCTTGATTTCCGGCAAAAAAAAAACCCTGAAATTCCAGTTATTTATAAGGAATTTATTTAAATTTAAGAGGTTAAAGAACAGAATTTATTCACTTTATTTTTAATATTTAAAATATTTATTTTATTAATTTTTTAATTTATTTATTGTTTTATTTTTCACATTAATTTGTTTCATGTTTTTTATTATTTTAAACATTTCTTTTGTTTCCTTTTATTTATTTAATTTTAAATATTTATTAAATATTGATTACATATTGATTACATATTGATTACATATTGATTAAATATTTATTACATCTTTATTAATTAATTATTAATTATTTATTAATTATTTATTACATATTATTACAAATTTATTACATATTTATAAATATTTATTTTTCTTATTTTGATATTAATTTCTCTTTTTCCTCCTTCTTTATCCTCTCCAGGATAATTTTTCTCTCTCTCTCTCTGACGATTTTATTTTTCACCCTTTCATTTGAGCTTTTAATTAAAAATTAATTAAAAATAAACGCCCTCAGAAATTCCCAGAAAAATTGAGGATAAAAAAAATATAAAATCTGAATTTGGAGAAATTTGAATTTTGGGGAAATTGGAAAAGTTTTAAATTTATAAAAAATTTATATTTTATAATATATTTATAAATATTTTAAATTTATAAATATATTTTATAAATTTATTAAATTTATAAAAAATATCGTGATTAAAAAAATGGAATTTTTCAGGAAAATTCAGAGTTCATAAAAGGGGGGAAAAAAAACCCAGAATAAATTCCAGGAGCGGAATTCCCGGGAAGGAGGAATTTTCCCTTAAAACCAAGTCAAGGTTGGAAAGGGATCCTTGGGAATCCGCCGGGCTTTGGAGATTCCTCCTGGAATTTTCTGGGAATTCTGGAGCAGCCAAAGGGCTCAGGGAGAGCCCCCGGATCCCGCGGGAATTTCAGGGGGGATGGGAAAGGCGGAACCTGGAAACCCAAAACTCTGAGTCTGGAACATGAAGAACCCGAGTCTGGAACCCGGTCTAGAACCGAGTCTAGAACCGAGTCTAGAACCCGATCTAGAACCCAGTCTAGAACCTGATCTAGAACCCAGTCTAGAACCTCTAGAACCCGATCTAGAGCCGAGTCTGGAACCAGGGTCTAGAACCGAGTCTGGAACCAGGGTCTAGAGCCTCAAAAGTTTGAGGCTGGAAAAAACTGAGCCTGGAACCCCAAAAACCTGGAATGAGAAGCCCAAAAATTTGGGAAGGAAGGAAGGAAGGAAGGAAGGAAGGAAGGAAGGAAGGAAGGAAGGATCCCGAAGGCCATTCCCAATCCTGTTTTCCAGGATTCCAGGGACACCCAGACCCTTTGGAATCCAGGTTTCCCTCGGGATGTTCCCGAGGCATTCCCGAATTCCCGGAGCCGCGGCTCCTCCAGCCCCGCTTGGATTTTCCGGGATGACAATTCCAGGGCTGGAGCCAGGAATGATCCCCGGGAAGGAGCCGGGAATGGGGAATTGAGAGCTTTGGAATTCCTGGAATTCCCGGAACCAGCCAGGTTCCGTGCTGAATCCCACCTTCCCGAGCTTTATTCCCGGCACTCCGGGAAATCCGGGAATGCTGCCGCCGGGACCACCGGGAGCGGATCCAGCTGGGAATTCCTCTCAGCCAATTAACTCCGGCCCTAATGAGCGGGAAGCGAATGGAATTATTGCCCCTGGAGCCGGGGGAGGGCCCCGCGCACACATCGTAAAGATACCGGGATCGATATTCCCGCTTTTCCATCGGGAACCGCCCGCCCTTTATGGAATTTTCTGTTCCAGCCGCGGGAGAACGGAGCGGCTCCCGGGGGGGGTAATTAGTCCCTAATGGCCTTAATGAGGCCGGTAATCGCTCCTCGGGATGGCGGCTGCTGGGATCCATGGAGCGGGAATATTCCCGGGATCCATGGAGCGGGAATATTCCCGGGGTCCATGGAGCGGGAATATTCCTGGGATTCATGGAACGGGAATATTCCCGGGGTCCATGGAGCTGGAATATTCCCGGGATTCATGGAGCTGGAATATCCCTGGGATTCATGGAGGGGGAATATTCCCAGGATTCATGGAGCAGGAATATCCCTGGGATTCATGGAGCTGGAATATCCCTGGGGTTCATGGAGCTGGAATATTCCTGGGATTCATGGAACTGGAACATCCTGGGCTGCTGGGAATGGGGATCCATGGAGCAGGGAGAGTTTTCCCGGGATTCCGGATTTCAGGGAATGGGGATCCATGGAACAGGGATATGCCGGGTCTCTGGGAATGGGGATCCATGGAGCGGGGAGAGCTTTCCCGGGATTCTGGGAACAGGGATTGGGATCCTCCCCACAGCAGCAGCTCTGTCCCCGCGGGAGGAAAACCCTTCCCAGGGAAAAATCGGGAAGAGGCTCAGTGGGATGAGGAGACGCGGGCTCGTCCCGCTGGATTTTCTGGATGTTGGGATCAATCCCAAATCCCAGCTCCCGGAGCTCCTTTCCCACTTTCCCGGGATTCTGGGGATGAGCCCCGGGCACCAATTCCCGTGGGAATGCTGGGATGGGAGCTGGAGCAAAAATCGGGAATGCTGCTCTGCTCCCCGGCCCGGGAGCGCTGGGATGGGAGCTGGAGAGCCCGGAATGAGAGCTGGGAATGGAAAAAGAGGATTTGGGAATCCCAAAATGGATTTGGGAATCCCAAAATGGATTTGGGAACCCCAGAGTGGGATTTGGGAATCCCAAAATGGATTTGGGAACCCCAGAGTGGGATTTGGGAACCCCAGAGAGGGATTTGGGAACCCCAGACAGGGATTTGGGAATCCCAAAATGGATTTGGGAATCCCAGAGTGGGATTTGGGAACCCCAGAGAGGGATTTGGGAATCCCAAAATGGATTTGGGAACCCCAGACAGGGATTTGGGAACCCCAGAGAGGGATTTGGGAATCCCAGAATGGATTTGGGAATCCCAGACAGGGATTTGGGAATCCCAAAATGGATTTGGGAACCCCAGACAGGGATTTGGGAACCCCAGAGAGGGATTTGGGAATCCCAGACCGGGATTTGGGAATCCCAAAATGGATTTGGGAATCCCAAAATGGATTTGGGAACCCCAGAGAGGGATTTGGGAATCCCAAAATGGATTTGGGAACCCCAGAGTGGGATTTGGGAACCCCAGAGAGGGATTTGGGAACCCCAGACAGGGATTTGGGAATCCCAAAATGGATTTGGGAATCCCAGAGAGGGATTTGGGAATCCCAAAATGGATTTGGGAACCCCAGAGAGGGATTTGGGAATCCCAAAATGGATTTGGGAACCTCAGAGTGGGATTTGGGAATCCCAAAATGGATTTGGGAATCCCAGACAGGGATTTGGGAACCCCAGA